CACGGCGCAGGAGGTGCTGGCCAGGGCTCATGGCACGCTGACACCCAAGGTATGGCGGAGAATGTGGGAGGATGGAGGTGGGGGGGGTTTTGCCCCGGTTGGCCTATGCCAGTGTTTCTCCACCTTGGCCATTTAAGATGGGTGGACTTCAACTCCCAGAATTCCCCAGCCAGCAAAGCCCACCCATCTTAAATGGCCAAGGTGGAGAAACACTGGCCTATGTCAGATTCAGCCTATACAGTCTATACATTGCATGCCTTTGCAAATGATTTTTAAGAAGAGCACGTGCACTTCGCCTCCCCACATAGATGGAAAAGGCCTTGACTAACCTGGTTCTGAGGACGGCAGAAACCAGTCCCTCGGCCCTGCAGCCGCCTCACCCGGCTCTCCCCGGGACCCCCAACAGCCTGAAAGGCGTCTCGCAGTCCTTAGTAGAAAGGGTGAGTTTATGGTCCCCTGAATTTTGGTTGCCGCCCGCACAGGGTGCCGCCAGCTTCCCAGGGTGGCTTTTGGCCTGTCCCTGCGGTCCAGCCACCGCCAACCTTCAGCGCCTCCAACTGAGCTTGTCTCCCCGCTTGCTCCCCCTCTGGGGTGGGAGGACGGTTCCTTTCTCAGCCGCCCCCGTCCACCAGTAGGGGGGGTTGGACGCACGTCCCCAAAACAAGGCTCTCTTGTGCGAGGGGTTTGCCTGGCATCAGATGCCAACAGCTGGAGCCCTTGGCTCCCCCTTACTCGCCTTCCCTCCCCCAGGTCAGGGCCAAGGAGGCTCAGAAGCTGCAGGCGCTGATGACACGGGACCCCCAGCGGGAGCACTGGCTGGCGATGCTGGGCCGCCTGCCAGAGATGGCACGCGTCCTCCGCAGCATCTTCGTGGCAGAGAAGAAGCAGGCCCTCTCCATGGAGGTGGCTTGCCAGCGGATGATGGAGAGCTGCAGGGCTCTCATGCCCATGGGTAAGGCAGGGAGGCGGGCTAGCTCCTGAGCTGCACTTTGCCCTGAATTTCTCGGCTCAGTGCTGGGTGAAGCCGGCCCGTCAGAGCAAGGCGGCTCAGGTGGGTCAGCGGCTCCGCATAGGATGAGCTTTTCCTGTTCTGTTGCCCTCTTCACAAGATGACAGGGCCTGAACCGAGACTCCCCTCGTGGTCTACGGTTCCTCCCCAAATCTTTCTCTAAACAAAAGCTCAATCTGGCTGGCCCATCTAGTGCGGGGCTGCGTGCCCTGGCTGGCAGTTGGCCTCCAGAGGTTCAGCAGGAAGCACCCCCAGCTGTAGCTGAGAAGGCCAGAGGTCCAGCCTGCAGAAGAACTGCCGTGCTGCTAAGCTGTGGCTCAGTCCCTCCGCGGCGTTCCCCGGAGGGGCCCTAGGACCCCTCCCTCCAGCAATGGCTTCCCTGTGTGTCTGGGAAGGTATCTGTTGGAAGTGCCAGCCCTTGAACATGGGGGTGCAGGCACGGCTTCTCTGATCCAAGCCCCCCACTTTCTCCCCTGCAGGAGAGATGGAAAAACACCTTCGCCTCTTTGCAGAGCTCCTGCCGGACTGGGTGCGCATCCTTTCCGTTCGCAAAGAGAGTTATGTGAAGCTGGACAAAACAGTTGACCTCAATATCATAACTGAGAGGCTGACTGCAAGGAAGGAGGAGGAGGAGAAACTCTGACTTTGGGGGAGGAGACCCCCAAAATACACTTGCTGAGGGGCTCGGTTTTCTAGGAAAGCTTTCTTGGGGAGCATTACTTTTCTTGGCCTTCTTCTAGAGCTAAGATGGTGGATTTTTCACCCTAGTGGAAAACTTCCAAGTTGGGCAGCTTGGGAAAGGTGTGGCTGCTTTTCTGGGAAGGGGGGGTGGAATCCCACATGCCCCACACTTGCCTGATAGCGGAGAGGAATGATTTTTTTTTTTTAAAGGAAGGCTTGGTCTGTCTTGAAATGTGATTTGTATATGGAACTTGGCATTAAACTCCATTCATTAGAAGCTGGACAAGCATATCTCTACCCCCCCCCCCTTTTTATTCAAACAGAAACCCACCGCTGGGCCCCACCCCCCCCCCCCCCCCCCCCCC